CGGTTCATCCAGCCCAGTGAGGACCTGGGGAGGAAGAAAAACAAAACTGACATGAGTATTGACGGAGCATGAAACTGATGAAACGGAAAGGTTAGCCCATCCTAAGCGCTTGACTCAAGGCCTGTGCTCTCCTTGTTGAAAAGGGATGTTGGCAATTTTTAGGGAAAGTCCCTGGGGGCCAGGCTCCATGCCACTGCCCGAGCCAGCCGTCATCATTCTTAACGAGAAGTGACTTCACCTCTCTGCCTCAGTTTCCTTATCTTTAAAATGAGCACAGGCCTGGTGCAGTGGCTCACACCTATAATCTCAGCACTTTGGGAGGCTGAGGTGGGCAGGTCACCTGAGGTCAGGAGTTTGAGACCAGCCTGGCCAACATGGCGAAACCCCGTCTTTACTAAAAATACAAAAATTAGCTGGGCGTGATGGCACACATCTGCAATCCCCGCTACTCAGAAGGCTGAGGCACGGGAATCACTTGAGCCCGGGAGGTGGAGGTTGCAGTGAGCCAAGATGGCACCACTGCACGCCAGCCTGGGCAACAGAGCAAGACTCTGTCTCAAAAAATAAATAAAATGGGCATAACTATCTACTTTATAGGATTGTTGTGAGCCCTGTGTGATAATGTAAAGCTCTTAGAACAGTACCTTATATTTTGAGTGTACATAGATTAGCTGCTATTACATTATTATTGCAGCAATTACTGTTGCTGCTGCCGCCATTATTACTGTTATTATTTTTAAATTAAGAGCTCGCCCTGTGTCAGGCAGTCTGCTCAGCACCTTATATGGATTTCTCTCATTTGATCATGTCAGCCCCATCATGCTACCTGGATATTCCTATGATCCCCATTTTACAGATGAGAAATAGATGAGAAATCCACAGCTTGGAGATGTGCCGTGACTTACACAAGACATGTGCCTGGCGAGGTGCAGACCTGGGCCAGCACCGCTCTCCCCACCTTGTGTTTAACTATAAACCATCCCCTTTGATATGGGAAGGATTAGGTCTGCACCCGTCTCACAGATGAGGAAACTGAGGCTCCAGGAGTCCCTCTGGAGCTCCACATGGTCCCTTTCTCAGTCAGGGATCTGGGCTTTGGAAAATGGGTTCCGTTTGGCCAGCGGGGGAGAGTAGGGAAGCAGGGTGTTGGGGGTGAGAGCCTGGCTGGACTGTGCCGGGCTTCCAAGCTGGCTCTTCCCCGGCCCCACCGGCAGAGCTGGGGCAGGTCCTGAACCTCTTTGTGCTGATCCTAAAGTGTCGTGTCGGGGATAGTAGGCGCTCTTGTGAGGTTACCCCGGTAAACAAGATGGCTCTGGCCAAGTCGTTTGCACACTTGGGAGCTGCTGTCGCTGTTACTGTCATCGGATTGTGATTTTGTAGAATGTGATCATCTCCCCTGGTAACCTTGGCTCATTCAGGAATCTGGTCTCTCTATTCTGCCCCTTCCTGTGGTCCCCTCCCACTAATGGGGAAAAAGGGCAGGACATCTAGCTGTCTGCGAGCAGTGAGGGTGGGACCTGCATAGAAAAAAGGGTGTGTCACACACCGAGGGACTTTCACAGACAGAACATGCGACAGAACATTCCCAGCCCCCAGAAGCCCCTCACCTTCCCGTCCGATCACCCCCAACTCGGGTGGTTCCCCATCACCCGGACTTCTAGCTGCAGAGGTTCGTGTTGTTGCTTTTTGTTCTCTACGTAAATGGAGTCACAGTGCAGTAGCACAGTGGCACAGTGGCTCTTTTTTTTAAGACTTAGAAAATTTTAACAGCTTCATGGAAATGTAATTAACATATTATAAAATTTGCCCATTGAAAATGTGCAGTCCATTTTAGAGCAACTCAGAAAGAAGCTTCGTACCCATCAGCCCCCGTCCCCAGCCCCTGGAAACCACACCTCTCCACTGTGTTTGTCTTTCCTGGATGTTTTCTGTAAATGATGTCGTACACCAACGAGCCTTTTGTGTCTGGCTTCTTCCACTGAGCAGCATGTCTTCCAGGTACAGCCATGCTGTGGTGTGGATTAGAACCTCGTTCCTGGCCAGGTGCAGTGGCTCACACCTGCAATCCAACACTGTAGGAGGCCGAGGTGGGTGGATTATCTGAGGTCACGAGTTCAAGACCAGCCTGGCCAACTAGTGAAACCCCGTCTCTACTAAAAATACAAAAGTTACCTAGGCATGGTGGCAGGCACCTGTAATCCCAGCTACTTGGGAGGCTGAGGCAGGAGAATCGTTTGAACCTGGGAGGCGGAGGTTGCAGTGAGCTGAGATCATGCCACTGTACAGCCTGGGCAACAAAGTAAGACTCTGTCTCAAAAAAAAAAAAAACAAAATGAAACAAAAAACCTTGTTATGGCCAAAAAAAACCCTTATTTTTTTCATGGCCCAATAACATCCCCTCTCTCCCGCCCAGCTGTCCTGAGTCTGCCTCTTTTTTTGGAACTGGGTTCCTGGGAATCTAAAACATGAGTCTTCCCTGATGCGACTCCTGACTTTGGCCAGATGCCACGAGTGAACTCAGCCGAAAGGCCTTGGGGGGGAGGGACAGGAGGCCATGCCGGGGATACAGAGGGATCCGGGAACCAGGGCCAGGTCCTGCTATGCCTCTCCATACCTCTGTCCCTACCCATCCAGTGCATAAAACGGGCAGCACAGGAGCCAGTGAGGTGTTCGTGGAATCTTCCAACTCAAACAGCTTGGAATCTGTGTCTGTTTTGCCTCCTCCTCGCCAGCATCTGTCTGTCCTAGTGTTGAATCCCACTTCCAATGACTGTCCCGCCATCACTTCCCACCCGGACGTCCTCCTTTTCAGTGGGCTGATATCCTCTGCCTTCCCCACCTGGGCCTGACCCCTTATTCCCTAGGATCACCAGCCTTGTGCGCTGGGTCCTTCCCAAGACACTGCCTGTGGAGGCCCATGTAGCAGAAGGAAAAGGTGAACAGGAAGCAGATTCAGAGAACCCAGGACAGCCTTCTGTGAAGGGCAGGGAAGAGGGCAGGCAGGTGAGGGAGTGGCTGACACCTCTGCCTCTGTGCCTGCAAACTTGCAGCCTCTAGGACCCAGCAATGCCTGTGCCAGCTATAGGGTGTCCTGTGAAATTCACTCTCCCTCCCCTGTCCCAAGCCAAGCTTTTTTTTTTTTTAACAGATGAGGTCTCATTGTGTCACCCCAGGCCGCAGTGAAGTGGCACCATCATAGCTCACTGTAACCTTGAACTCCTGGGCTCAAACGATCCTCTTGCCTCAGCCTCCTGCATTGCCAGCTGGGACTGCAGGCCCACGCCACCACCCCTAGCTGGCCTTATTTATTATTATTTTTTTTTTACAGTTCAGTGAAATGTAATTCACATAATACACATAATTCACATAATACAACTCAGTCATTAAGATGCGCAATTCAGCGACTTTTGTCGTATGTACAGAGTTGTGCATCCAGCACCACAGTCAATATTAGAACGTTTTCATCACTCCCGAAAGAAAGCTGTACCCTCAGCTGGCACAGCACATGCCCCTCTCCCCAGCCCCCTGACAACCACCAATCTGCATTCTGCCTCTGTGTACTTACCTATTCTAGATACTTGATGTAAATGGAATTGTGTAATCTGTGGCCATTTGTATCTGGCTTCTTTCGCTCAGCGTAATGTTTTGTTTGTTTTCTTGAGACGGAGTCTTGCTTTGTCATCCAGGCTGGAGGACAATGGTGCGATCTTGGCTCACTGCAACCTCCACCTCCCAATGCAAGCAACTTTCGTGCCTCAGCCTCCCGGTAGCTGGGATTACAGATGTGCACCACCATACCTGGCTAATTTTTGTATTTTTAGTAGAGATGGAGTTTCAACATGTTGTCCAGCTGGTCTCAAACTCCTGACCTCAAGTGATCTACCCGCCTTGGCCTCCCACAGTGCTGGGATTACAGGCATGAGCCACCGTGCCTGGTCTCACTTAGCATCATGTTTTTTAGATTCATCTCTGTTGTAGCATGTATTGGTACTTGATTTCTTGTTATGGCTAAAAAATACTCCCTTGTGGTTTTAGTGAGCAGAGATCACACCATTGCACTCCAGCCTGGGTGACAGAGTGAGATTCCATCTCAAAAAACAAACAAACAAAAAACTCATTGTATGGACCACATTTTTTTCCTCTAATTATGAGTTGACAGACATTTGGATTGTTTCTGCTTTATGGGTGAGCAGTGTTGCTATGAAATTCATGCCCAGGTTTTTACTTCTCTCAGGCATATCCCCAGTGGAATTGCTGGGTCATCTTTTAACTGCATGTTTAACCTCTGAGGACCTGCCAGACTGTCTTCCAGAGCTCCAAGCCAGCACCCCACTGCTCTGGATACTGACCTGGGGCTTTAAGGATGGGCTTCAGGCAATTTCCAGAAACCCAGAATCCCACAAATCCCATGTCTCTACATTTTTTTTTTTTTTTTTTTTTTGGAGATGACCATCCATTCCACCTCTTGGATTCTCAAAAGTATCTCAAGGCCAGGTGCAGTGGCTCACACCTGTAACCCCAGTGCTTTGGGAGGCTGAGGCAGGAGGATTGCTCGAGCCCAGGAGTTCAAGATTCGCCTGGGCAACATGTCAACACGTTGTCTCTATAAAAAACTTAAAAAATTAGCTAGGCGTGGCAGCCTGCACCTGTGGTCCCGGCTACTTGGGAGGCTGAGGCTAGAGGATTGCTTGAACCCAGTAGGTCGAGGCTGCAGCGAGCTATGATCGCACCACTACACTCCAGCCTGGGTGACATTGAGACCCTTTTCTTCAAAAAAGAAAAGTATCTTGAGCCTCGAGATTCTCCCTGCTCTTGCCCAGTCTGACGGTTAGGGGAAGGGGCAGATAAGTGAAGTGTATTCCAGTTCTGTCTCCTACCTCTGAACTATTCTTGTGGGGCCTGCTGGGGATCCAGAATACAGCGCGATACAGGATGAAAATGCCAGCTGACATCTGCTGCTTTTCTTACTCTCTTCCTGATCTCTCCTTCTTGGAAACCAGCAAGGAGAACTTCAACAATGTCCCGGACCTGGAGCTCAACCCCATCCGATCCAAAATTGTTCGTGCCTTCTTCGACAACAGGTGAGCGTCTTCCCGTGAACCAGCCCGGTGGCAGGTACCTTTGTCTTGTGTGACATCTCATTGCTCAGAACGGCCCTTTGAGCTGATGCCCAGAAGAAGAGGCTAAGCTGGGTAGGGGTCATGAGCACAGGTTTGGGGTTGGACCGTTCTGGATTTATAGCTGGGTGACTGGGCAGCTCACTCAAGCTCTCTAGGCCTTTGTATTCATTATCTCTGGCTGTGTAACAAATCACCCCAAAACTTGGTAACTTAAGACGATAGCCAGGCATGGCGATGTGTGACTGTAGTCTCCGCTAGTGGGGAGGCTGAGGTGAGAGGATACCTGAGGCCAGAGGCTCAAGGCTGCAGTGAGCTGTGATCGGACCGCTGCACTCCAGCCTGGGCAACAGAGTGAGACCCTGTTTCCAAAAAAATAAGAATAAAAAAATGAAAAATAACAATTAAAAAACAAATTCTCTTAGAAAAATTCTAAGAAAACTATTGAGGAAGACTTTTTAAACAAGAAAATTCAAGGCTGGGCATGATGGTTTATGCCAGTAATCCCAGCACTTTGGGAGGCCAAGGTGGATGGATCACCTGAGGTCAGGAGTTCAAGACCAGCCTGGCCAACATGGTGAAACCCTGTTTCTACTAAAATTATAAAAATTAGCGAGGCGGAATGGGTCACACCTCTAATTCCAGCACTTTGGGAGGCCGAAGCAGGCAGATCACTTGAGGTCGGGAATTCAAGACCAGCCTGGCCAACGTGGTGAAACCCTGTCTCTCTTAAATATACAAAAATTAGCTGGGTGTGGTAGTACACACCTGTAATCCCAATTACTCAGGAGGCTAAGGCAGGAGAATCTCTTGAACCCAGGAGGAGGAGGTTGCAGTGAGCTGAGACTGTGCTGCTGCATTGTCCAGCCTGGGTGAGAGTCACTGAGACTCCTCAAAAAAAAAAAAGAAAAGAAAAATTGGTAAGCGTTTATTATCTTACCATTTCTGTGGGTCAGGAAAGGAATCTGGGTGTAGATTAGCTGGGAGTCTCAAAGTCTTGTGAGCTTCAGCCAAGGCATCAACTGGGGCTGAGGTCTCACCGCGTGGCTCACCCAGGGAGGCTGTTTCCAGCTTCAGCCTGTGGCTGCTGGCTGGAGGCCTCTCCTGGGCCCCTCCACGGAGCTGCTCACAGTGTGGCAGCTTCCTTCCTCCAGAGCCAGCTCTTTGAATGAAACTCAGGGCACATCCCTCATGGAGGCCACTGTCTTTTTGTAACTCAATCTCTGAAGTGACACCCCATCCCTTCTGCTCTCTTTGTTAGAAGTAAGTCACTGGGTCACCCTACTCTTGAGGAGCACAGGGATGTGACTACCAGGAGGCAGGGATTTTGGGGGCCATCTGGGAGGATGCCTCAGTTTTACCATCTCTAAAATGGAGATAATTGGCCGGGCATAGTGGCTCACGCCTATAATTCCAGCACTTTGGGAGGCCAAGGCCAGCAGATCACTTGAGGTCAGGAGTTTGAGACCAGCCTGGCCAACATGATGAAACCTTGTCTTGACTAAAATTATAAAACTTAGCCAGGCGTGGTGGCGCACACCTGTAATCCCAGCTACTCAGGAGGCGGAGGCAGGAGATTGCTTGAGCTTGAGAGTGGAGGGTGCAGTGAGCTGAGACTGCACCACTGCACTCCAGCCTGGGCAGCAGAGCGAGACTCTGTCTCAAAATCAAATGGAGAAAATCACAGCATCTGCCTAGCAGGGTTGCTGTGAGGGGTGCTGGGGGTGTGTGTGGGGAAGCTATTCATACGTTCATCACCGTGGCTTACAAAGAGGTGCTCACCTTGGCCCGCGTCCCAGAGCTGAGGCAGACCAGAGCTCATGTCCCAGATGTCCAGTATTATTTAAGGTGAAAGACTTGGGTGACTAGGATGGAGCCCGAAGGTGTCTGGGGCTCTGGGAGGGGATGTGGGAGTGGGCACACCCTCCCCATGCTGTTGGGGCCTGTGGCAGGCACACCGAGGCCAGCCAGCCTGTTTGCCTGTGTTTCTATGTCTGCAAGGATGGCTGAGAAACGGAGGATGGGCAGAAAGAGGAAGGACGGGAACAGGTGTGGCGTGGTGATGAGACCATGGGACTTCCCTGCTGGGTTTTGAGCTGTGTAGGGAGGAGCCACTCACCCTGGTTCTGCAGGGATGTGGGACCCTGGACCAGGCACTGAGCCTCCCTGAGTCCCACTGGAAGCCCGGGGTGCTGCTCATGGGGAGGAGGTGCTTCGGCTGCCCCTGGAGATGCAGGGCCGTCCTCTGCAGCCTGTGGGGCAAGGCCTGATGACACAGTGACCAAGAGTTAAGCCGGAGATGCAGGGAGAGAAGGTTCCAGGTGATGGGAACTGTGTGTGCAAAGGCCCTGTGGCATGGGGAGCTTGAGGAGCCCAGAGGAGAGAGACCTGGCTAAATCACAGAGGGGCCAGCATGGCTTGGGGAGGGCAGGCCGCATCGGGCAGCATCTGTGGACCAGCAGCAGGGAACTTCCCTTCAGCCTCAGAGTGGATTTGGGGGGTGCTGATGGACTTTAATGTGAGGGTGTCAGGGGTAGGTAAGCCAGGTTTGCACTTTGTAGAGGTCACCACAGCTGCTGGTCGGTTGTAGGGGTGGGAACAGGAGGTGGAGGCCAGGGAGGGGCAAGGCTTGGTCCCAGGCTGCCCTGTGGAGCTGGGGAGCAGGGGCAGCTTTGAGCCACCTGGGAGGTTCTAGATAAGGAAGAAGGACTGGAGCTGGGAGTCGGAGTGAGAGACCAGGTCCCACAGGCATCTTCACAGCCAGATGTCGCGTCTGCCAGAGAGGAGGGGCCTGTGGAGCTTGAGTGACTGTGAAGTGTGTGAAGTTTCATAGTCGGTGGCAAAGTCAGAGTGGAATCCAGTGCCCTCCTCCTTTTAAATTCTGGTTCTCAGAGGAAGGACTCGAAGGAGGGCAGTGCATCTTAAGCCAGTCCCCAAATGAGCCAGAGCAGGCGTTGGAGGGGAGGCTCAGGCCCTGACAGGGGACCTAGAGTTGGTGGCACTGACAGGAAGACGGCACAGGGGCCAGAGCCCAGTGGGTGCCTGTGTGTGCACGTGCATGTGTGTGTGTGTGTGAGAGAGAATGCGTGAGCAAGCGCACACATGCACGTGTAAGGGGTATGTGTATGCATGAGGCTTGTTTCCCGAAGGCTTGGGTGCCACTCTGGCCAGCCATCAAGCTGGAAGTGGGAACTTCTGGGGCAGATGAGAGGTGGATTTCACAAGGGCGTATGCTTGTCCAAACACAAGATCTGTGCATGTTAGTGTATGTTCTTATTTCTTAAACAAAAACTTGACCCAAGGTGACTTGGCTGTCAGCTGTCACCTGTAGGAACTGGGATTCCACTTCGGGTCTGTCTGCCTCACAATCCTGGACAGACTCAGGAGTTGTGTTTTTAGCTCTTGGGGTGCCAAGTTGTGTTTTTGGCTCTTGGGAAAACAGCACCTGCCAGGCTGTTTTCCATGAACAGTGGCTCTCCAGGAGACGGGGGTGGGGAAGGGGCTAGGGCGACGCCTCCCTGTTTTCAGAAGACAAGAGAGCATGCTGGGCATGCAGCTGCCAGACTTGGGGACAGGCTGATGGAGGCAGTACCCTCCTCCTTTGGAGGATCCAATTTAGGACAGAGCCATGGGGGCACAGGCGTGGGGCTCCTTGAAGGATGGGGGCAGGGACCACAATCATTTGGGGAATATTGAGTGTTCAGAAGGTAGGCATTGAAACAAGTGGCCATATCTCAGGAGGACTCCAGGCAGGGATAGGCAGGAAGGGGTGGTGAGTTCTGGGCTGGCTTGGGTGACTGAGACCACCCTGCAGCCCTGGGAGGCCAGGTGGGATTGGGGGTTACCAGGAGAACCGGGGAGGCCCCAGGAGGGTGCTAAGCAGGGAGCAACAGGTTCTGATTTGCATTTTGCAGAGCTCGCTCCGGCTGCATATGGAGTGCACAGGAAGGTGCAGGTGGGGCCGGGCAGCTGCAGAGGCCAGGAGAGAAAAGGAAGGATCCCAGGGAATTGACGTGAAGCATGAAGCTGGTGGTGGTTGGATGTGGGGGTGTTGGGGGCATCCTGGAGACTCTGGGTCTGGAGCTGAGGGCAGCTCTCATGGTGCCTGCCTGACGGAGCTGCCATTGAAAGATGGCCAGGGATCTCCTGGGCAGAGCCAGAGGCGGAGGGCGGTGGCCAGGTATGGGGTGGCGAGAGCCTCCCCTGTAGGTCCCCAGACCTCAGCCTCCAGCCGCTCCTTGGAGAAACTGGGTGTGGAGAAAGGGAGGTGCCAGTGACTGAGGCTGGCCCAGAAGTCACCAAGGGAGGAGGGGATGATTGTAAAATGGCTTTCCTCTGGCCCGCACCCAGAACGACTTCGTGGGCTACAGCTGGAGCCAGTAACTACTGGAAAAGTGCTTCACGTCACTTCCTGTAAATGCTGAGAAGGAGCTGGAGGAGGATGTCAGAGGAGGTGCTGGAAACAGGGTTTTCCCTTCAAGCAATAGCAGCCTCAGCCTTTGTTCCTGAGACTTTGGGAAGAGGTCTTGGGGAAGGGGTGTTTTCAGCAGAGACCATCTCCACTTCCAGGGGGCGCTCCACTCCTTACAGGGTAATGGGAAAGTTAAGGGGACATCTTTGCCAAAAGAATGAACATGACCTGCCCTCATGGGTTGCAGATTTAGATGTGGTCCCTGTTTTCTGTCCACGGATCCTCATCCTGGTGCTCATTTTAGAAACGGGAGTAGAGGGCTGGGTGTGGTGGCATGCGCCTGTAAGCCCAGCCACTCAGGAGGCTGCGGCAGTAGGACTGCTCGTGGCCCAGGAGTTCAAGACCAGTCTGCGCAATATAGCGAGACCTCATCTCTAAGCAAAAAAACTTCTATTTAAAAACTGGGAGTGGAGAGCAGGTAGGGCTGGTTCCAGGTGCTCTGTCTGGGTTTCCTCAGTGCTGGCTCTCATTGCCTTTGGAGACCATGGTATTGGTCTCTGCAGACCTATGGGAGCGCTGGGAGGGGAAGGGACCCTCGTTCCTTAAATCGAGTCCTTAGGCTGAAACAGTGCAGGTATCAACACTCCCAGAGAGGGACACACGCTCTGCCTTCCCTGGGAGTCTGTCACATCTTCACCCACGTGACCCCCAGGGAAGGGGGGTTCTGTCATGTGGATGAAGATGTGACAGACCTCCAGGTCTAACCTTAATCCCTCTTGCTGTAGCATGAACCACTTCGGAAGGACATGTGAGCCAACTGCTATGGGAAGTGCTTCCAGAGCAGCCCAGTCAGTCTGGGGGCTGTTTTTACACTCTGTAAATTTGGCCTGTGCCGCCCACAGTGAGAACTTTGAGGTTCTTAAAGCCTGCGGCAGGAGCGGAGTGCAGCTTCCTACGATAAGAGAGAGAAGGGAGACCTGCGAAAACACATCAGGGCGGGGCTTCCCGAGCCCAGGGAAGGACGGTCTCATCCCGCAGATGGGCAGTTTCGTGAGCTGCCTTCCCTAATCCAGGCTGGGGACCCCACCTCTCCCTGGAAAATCTCCTGGAAGAGAAAAATTTTAAAACTGGGAGTCCAGGGGACACTTAGAGGCTGTTGTAGGGGTGTTAGCATATTTCCTGGGTGCTGAAAAGGAGTAGTAGCTGAACCTCTAAAGAGAGAATTGCAAACGTATTTGATAGGACCCAAGTACTATATCCAAGCACTAGCCATGAAGTGTTAGTTATCCCAGGCCGGCGAGGCACTGCCCCTTTCCAGAGGGCCCCAGTGAGGGGCTGTGGCAGAACCTTCAGCTGGCCAGCCATCTGACAGCCTGTCCAGCAGCCTCGGATGCTCACTGTCACAGTCGGTCAGTGATACGGGTTTGATGAGAGTAGGTCAGGAGCTTGAGTTTGGAATCATCTCCAAGCTGTTTTGTTTTGTTTGAGACAGGGTCTCACTTTGTCACCCAGGCTGGAGGGCAGGGGCGCAATCTCAACTCACTGTAGCCTCGGCCTCCTGGGCTCAAGTGATCCTCCCATGTCCGTCTCTCAAGTAGCTGGGACCACAGGTACACACCATTGCACCCAGCTAATCTTTTTTTTTTTTTTTTTTTTTGTAGAGATGGGGTTTCTCCCTCTTGCCCAGGTTGGTCTTGAGCTCCAGAGCTCAAGCAATCGGCTTGCGTCGGCCTCCCAAAGTGCTAGGGTTACAGGCGTGAGCCACTGTGCCTGGCCTCCAAGCTATTTTCTTAACAACTGCCAAGATCTGGGCTGGACCACACATTTCTGAAGCCCTCCTCTGGGTGTCAGGCACTGCCAGGCATGGGGCACGGATACCCTGTGTCATTGCCCCCCAAACGCCAGCCCTTTTGTGCCGCCTCCAAAAAGCACATGGATACGGCCAGCCTCAAACCTGCCCTAACTTATCACAAACTTTGAATCATTGGCGAACTTTGTACTTGGGTATAAACAGATTACTTAGAGATGCTTGCAGCTAGTCACCATCCTAAAATTTTGAACTAGTGAGAGCGAGCAAAAGTTGGCCAACCTTTTCTGTAAAAAGACAAGGAGTAAATATTTTCGGCTTTGTGGGCCATGAAGCCTTGGTGGCAGCTACTCGGCTCTGCAGACAAGCGTCAATGAAATGGCATGGCTGTGTGCCAATAAAACTTTATTTATGGACACTGACATTTGAATTTCATGTAATTTTTACCTGTCATGAAATACTATTCTTTTGACTTTTTTTTTTTTGACAAGCATTTTTTCAACTATTTAAAAATCTGAAAACTGGCCAGGCGTGTGGCTTACACATGTAGTCCCAGCAGGTTGGGAGGCCAAGGCAGGAGGATCACTTGAGCCCAGGAGTTCAAGGCTGACATGAGCTGTGATCGTACCACTGAACTCCAGCCTGGGCAACAGAGTGGGACCCCAAATCTGAAAAATTAATATAGAAATGTGAAAAATCTTTTTTTCTTTTTTTTTTTGAGACAGGGTCTCCCTCTGTTACCCAGGCTGGAGTGGAGTGGTGTGATCTCAGCTCACTGCAACCTCCGCCTCCTGAGTTCAAGAGATTTTCCTGCCTCAGCCTCCCAAGTAGCTGGGACTACAGGTGTGTACCACCACACCAGGCTAATTTTTTTATTTTTAGTAGAGGCAGGGTTTCACCATGTAGGCCAGACTGGTCTCGAACTCCTGACCTCAGGTGATCCTGAGTGCTGGGATTACAGGTGTGGGCCACCATGCCCAGCCCGAAAAGTCTTCTTAGTTCATGGGCTAAGAAGTGTTTAATATTCATGTGAAAATAGATGACAGGCCAGCTTGGGTCCGTGCACTGTTTGCTAACCCTCGAGCTAAAGGAACGGGTCGGGAGATGTGCTTGGTGAGTTACTGGATTGCCTGGTTTCCTCATTAGTTCCCCCGTGTGCACCTTCACACACTGTCGAGTCCCTCTGTCCCCGCCAGGATCAGCAATCATGCAGCAGCCTGTCTCCTCCACCTCCCTGATGGTGAGCTCTGTGAGGGCAGGGCAGGGGCTGCCTTTCAGCTTCTGGAGCCCCCAGCCCCCATGAGGCAGGTTCTTGGGGCACAGACTCAAGATGAGAGCAGCTGTCGTGGATACAGTGTGCGCCCCAAGAGCTGAGTCTTCAGGGGGTAATGGCAGCAAGAGGACAAGGCCTGGTTCTTAATGTATTTCCAGCACCCTCCTTGTTGCTCCCATAGGAACCTGCGCAAGGGACCCAGTGGCCTGGCTGATGAGATCAATTTTGAGGACTTTCTGACCATCATGTCCTACTTCCGGCCCATCGACACGACCATGGGCGAGGAGCAGGTGGAGCTGTCCCGGAAGGAGAAGCTGAGATGTGCGTGCCTCCAAGTCCCCTTACTCACACGTGGCCAGGGTGCGGCCTCCCCTAAGTCCTCAGAACACAGAGCGTCCCTGCAGCAGGAGGCTGGGTGTGCATTGGCTGGGGTGCTGGGAGGGCTTGGGGACACCAGCCCCCATCCCCATGAGGCTGGCATTGCTGCCTCCTGTTCCCGGCAGCCTCATCCTAATCATTGCTCAGCAGCTTTCGGCTTCCTGGGACTAGAAGGGGGTTGTGGTGGATGTGAAACAACAAGGCCCTTGGGGCAGAGACCTGGGTTCCAGTGTGGCCCCTCTCCCCTACCTGCCATATGACCTTGAACCTTGACCCAGAACGTGGGCATGCCGATGATACATGGTTCTGGGGGCTGGGTAAGATCACAGTCAGCCTTTGGCATACAGGAAGTGCCCCCTAAAATCAGTTTCCTCCTCTTCCTCCACCACGAGCTATCTATTGCTGGGTTCCTGGGACGAGCCCCACGATGTCTGGCCCCCGAGTGGTTCTGTTGTGGTCCCAGCTGGCCAGCCGCACAGGTCCCAGGCAGTGGCCTGAGTCACATCTTTTCCCGGGGCCTTTCCCATGACTCCTGACGTCCCTCTGTGCCCCACCCCAGGTCAGCCTCCTCATCAAGAAAATGTAAACACGAGGCTTGGCTATATTTAGCACTGGAATGTGTACGTGGGGCTGGTGGGAACAGCCCTGGCGGGGGATCCTGGTGTGAGCCTGGCTTCCTGTCTGCTCCAAGGGGCGTGGAACAGGACAGACTCAGGTCCAAATCCCTGGTTTCCTGTCCCTTAGTGGTATAGCCATGGGCAAATGCCTTAACTTCCGTGAGCTCTGACTGCCTGTCTGGGAAGCAGACTTAGGCATCCTTGAACTCATGGGTTTGGGTGAGAGGGGGAGAGGTTTGTGAAGCGCTTTGCACACCTGGGCATCTGGTCAGGGCTCCATAAACGGCAGCCGGGCTCAGTGGCTCATGCCTGGAATCCCAGCACTTTAGGAGCCTGAGGAGGGGAGGATTGCTTGAAGCCAGGAGTTCAAGGCCCAGCCTGGGCAGTAGAGAGAAAGACACCTGGCTCTAGAAAATTAAAAAACCAGTACAGCACAGTGTATGTGCCTGTGGTCGCTGGTACTCAGGAGACTAAGGTGGGAGGATCGCTTGAACCCAGGAGATGGAGGCTGCAATGAGCTGCGATCACACCGCTGCACTCCAGCCTGGGCAACACTCGTCTCTGAAGAAAATAACAATAATAAATAAATAAATGCCAGCTGGGCCCGTGGCTTGCACTTGTGATGTCAGCATTTTGGGATGCTGAGGCAGGCAGATCATTTGAGGTTGGGAGTTTAAGACCAGCCTGGACAAACTGGCAAGACCCTATCTCTATTAAAAATACAAAAATGAGCTGGGCGTGGTGGTGGGCACCTGTAATCCTAGCTTCTTGGAAGGCTGAGGCAGGAGAATCTCTTGAACCAGGAAGGCAGATGTTGCAGTGAGCCAGGACCTCACCACTGCACTCTAGCCTGGGCGGCAGAGCGAGACTTCATTTCAAAAATATAAATACATAATTTTTTAAAAAATGCCAACAAAGAAAACTTTGGAGAGCTCCAGCTCCCAAGGCCGTGCTGGGAAAAACAAGGAGAGGTCCCCTCCCATCCAGCACCTCCCTGATGCTGGCCCTCAGGCTGCCCATGTCAGAGCATGCAGGGGCCCAAATGGAAGCACTGTGGACCCTCACCTGCCACAGCTGAGATGATGATGCCCTCCTGGGCTGTGAGAACAATATTTTGAACTCAACACCGTTTGACTCGTGTTAATGGGTGACGCTTCCTGTCAACATATCCATGCTTACTGGGCAGCGCCACAGTGCTAGCTCCCAGCCCTCCCAAGGCCATGAGGTAGACACTGTTGTTATTCCCATTTCACAGATGAGGAGACTGAGGCTCAGAGAAGTTAGGTCAGTGGCCCGAGGTCATCCAGTAAGAAGCGGTCAGTCTGGTCCCACAGCTGATCCTGATCCCTGTGGCTTTGGCGTTGAGATTTGGTTATTGGTGTCATTTGCTTACTTGGTGTAGCTTTCAAGGGGTAGCAGCGGCCAGCCCCGCCTGACAGAGTCCCCTCTCTCCCCTGCCACCCCAGTTCTGTTCCACATGTACGACTCGGACAGCGACGGGCGCATCACCTTGGAAGAGTATCGAAATGTAAAGTATGCTCCTCCGCCCCGCCCTCGCGCCCGGCACCTCCCCCGTCCTGCGTCCCTGATGGAGGCCCCAGGTCACCGTTTGTTTTACCCCGCCCGGCAGGTGGTCGAGGAGCTGCTGTCGGGAAACCCCCACATCGAGAAGGAGTCTGCTCGCTCCATCGCTGACGGGGCCATGATGGAGGCGGCCAGCGTGTGCGTGGGGCAGATGGTGAGTGCCCCTGCAGCCCTCCCGAGACGCATGGCGCCTTCCCACTCATGGTCTGCATTTCTGGAAGGCCTCACGGGGCAGGGGCCAGGTGTGTCCTGCCACCTGGTTTACCTGTGGCCTACAGGGCTCAGAAACCTTTCCCAGCTCTTTCTGTCCCCCAGGAAAACTGTAGGTCCCAGCCCCCAGAGAGCTGCACAAGACAGGGAAGCAGAGCTTGAGACCCCAGGCTTCGGGGGGTCCAGGAGCCTCTCCACCCCGGCCTCAGTCAGTGCTCACAGCAGCACTCAGCCCCAGGGCCAGGCCTGGAAAGCAGATGGCACAGGCTTGCCTTAATTAGCTTATTTCTTAACAAGTGACTCGGAAGTGACTTCTGGCTTTGGAGCAGGGGTCAGCGGAGAGCCCTATTTGGGGCTGAGAAGAGCCGATGGTCAGGTGGAGGAGCTGAAGTGGGGGCTGGTATGTAAGTGACACAGAAGAGAGGCCTTCATTTTCTTCACTTCATAACTTTTGCCTCATTTTGACAAATGGGGAAACTAAGGCTTAGAGCACATAGAGAATCCTCTAGACCATATGGTCTTTGCTGTGCTGGGTGGATTTCCTCTTGTAAGGCCAGGTGCAGCCCTACCAGCTCCCAGGCCTAAGGCTCTAAGCCTCTGGGGACCACTCAGGCAGGCAGGTGACCGCCTGCATGTCGTGTGTTCACTGAGGGGTTTGGAGGGCCCCACTGATGCGGTCAGCCCTCTGCCCTGTATGTTTAAAGTGGCTGTGTCTCTAGACACCCTGATGGCTTTGTGTCTGCCCAGCCCAGAGCAGAGGGGTGTTCATGCTGGAGCCTGCCGTCTGTGCCCACCCCAAGCCCATTCTTGATCAGACAGGAGGCCACAGGCCTGGGCCTACCCTGGGGGGGCGGGGAGGGAGGGGGCTGTGGTCAGCCAGCTTCCTGGTGTGTGTTTTATCTGTCTGCCTGCCTCTGGAGCCCAGCAGGAAGCTTCTGGTCTGGGTGAAACCTTTGTGCTCAGCAGATGAACCACCACGGGAGAGGGCTTGTGACCTCGGTGGGGAAGGCAGGGATCCCCGACAGGTCATCAGGCCAAGTTCCCATTTGATTTAATTACACTCTCCTTCAAATTGCTCCCTGTCCCACTCATTTCAATTGGCGACAGTTTTCTTAATTTGCTGTAGTGAAATTGCTGGCAGCTGCCAGCTGCTGATCTGCATAAAACCCCGGCAGCCTGGGAAGCAGAGGCATCTCGGGGCAGAGGCTGGGCTTCGGGGTCCATCCTGCTGCCCCCCCCCGACCCCCACATGTAGGGGCAGCACTGGAGCCAGGAAAGCAGCTGTGAGGCAGAGGGCTCATTGGCACCTTTCTTCACTCCTGGGTCCTCTGGGCGCTCTTAAAATACCTTCTGGTATAAAGCTTGACCAGATAAACCAGACCGAGCTGTGTGTATGGCCTGAGCTGGGGGCGAGGGGTAGCTGTGTCGGTTCAGCCTCACCCGGCCTCTGAGGACACTTCCCGTTCTGACCGCATCACCTGCCGAAGACAAACGATCCCCCTTCAGTGGGCTTCCAAAGTCAAGTTATTGACTGAGGCAGGAGCTCTTGTTTTTTCTTTTTTTAGACCAAGTCTCACTCTGCTGCCCAGGCTGGAGTGCAATGGCACGATCTCAGCCTACTGCAACCTCTGCCTCCCCGGCTCAAGTGATTCTCCGGCCTCAGCCTCCCGAGTGGCTGGGATTATAGGCATGTGCCACCATGCCCAGCTAATTTTTCTTTTTTTCACAGAGACGGGCCACCATGTTGGCCAGGCTGGTCTTGAACTCCTGACCTCAGGTGATCCTTCCACCTTGGCCTCTCATAGTGCTGGGATTGCAGGCATGAGCCACTGCACCCAGCCCTCAGGATATATTTTGAGGGTGCTTCCTCAGGAGGTCGCACCCATCGATGCTTGAGAGGGTACTGCTTCACTGGGCATTCAGCCAGTGGGGGCGTCCCCTGCCGCCCTCCTTCCTTGCACCAATCACTCCCTTTCCAGCCCCGGACTCTGACCACAGGGGCCTTTTCTATAATTAGCTCCCCTTGTCTGGCCTGGGAAGCTAGGGTGGCTGGCAGAGAAGGCAGTCACTTCCCTCTGCCCGTGAGTGGGAAGAGAGTGGGGAAGGAGCCCTTAGGAATAGGGCTGGCCAGGCTAGCCCAGAACTTCTGGGCTTCATTTTTTTTTTTTTTTAATTATTTATTATTTATTTTTTAAGAGATAGAGTCTTGCTCTGTAGCCCAGTCCGGAATGCAGTGGTGTGATCATAGCTCACTGCAGCTTCCATCTCCTGGGCTCAAGCCATCCTCCTCCCTCAGCCTCTGGCGCAGAGGTGTACACCACCACACTGAGCTACTTTAAAAAAAATTTTTTTAATAAAAGAGATTGGGTCTTGCTATGCTGACCAGTCTGGTCTTGAACTCCTGGCCTTAAACAGTCCTCCTGCCTTGGCCTCCCAAAGTCCTGGGGTGACATATGTGAACCACTGTGCCTGGCCAAAATTTTTTTTAGGTATAAAGAGGGAACTAAAAAGCTTGCAAAATCCTGCTGGTAGAAGGATTTAGCAAGCCTTCAAGGACTTGCTTGGAGCCAGCTCAATGCTCCCAGCAGGACAGGCAGCACCCCTCTGTGCCCCTCATCTGTAATAGAGGAGGGAGACCAGAGCCCAGCCCAGCGCCTGTTGGGAGATTGGCATCTGTCATTAAATGCTAACGATAGCATTTGGTTACACCCGTAACCCAGCACTTTGGGAGGCCAAGGCGGGTGGATTGCTTGAGGTCAGGAGTTCCAAGCTGGCCTGGCTAATATGGTGAATCCCCCGTCTCTACTAAAACATTTAAAAATTAGCCACGCATGGTGGCGCACACCTGTAATGATCCCAGCTACTCGGGAGTCTGAGGTGGGCGAATCGCTTGAACCTGGGAGGCAGAAGTCACAGTGACTGGACAACAGAGTGATACTCCATTTCAGAAACAAAACAATAGCGTTTGGAAGGCACTTGGGACGTACATGTCTGGCACATAACAAGCTTTGAGTGTGCCTCTGTGTTCTTAAAAGCACATTGTACAGAATTGCAGAGTCACAGAGAGAGCTTTGAGTCTCTCCTGCCCCTACCAGCCCAGATTCTCTTCCCTAAAGGGAATCCCTCTGGCTGGGTTTTTTTCCTATATATACCAGTGCATACATGCATGTCTTTTATTTCTGATTTATGCAAAACAGAATTGAACTGACCTGGCTTCCCCTTCTCTCTGCACGACCCCATGTCCCAGAGGGCAGGTGGTGGGGTCTGGTTATCGGTCTGAGAAGACCTGCAGACACCCTTCTGCTTGTTGGGTGCTGGTGTTTCTTTATCTGCTGTATACATCTCTTGGAGCTTTTCTGTAGTAAGATGTATAAATCAACCCCTTCTTAACCCATTTTTGCCTGAGGTTGTAGGTTTTGAATTTTTATAAGTAGACCTTGACGACGGCCTTGAGCAGGAGGATATAAATAACTCCTACATGCTTAACGTTCCAGTAATGGAACACTAGGCATAAGGGTTGCATGGGAATCAATGGCATGGATGACTGAGATTTATGTCCCCGGCCTTCTATTGACAGGCACTTGGGACGTCAGCAACTTTTTGCTGTCCCAAAGGATGCTGCAAAGGTGAGGTTTTTGGAGGCTTGTCGGTGAAAGGGGGGCAGGAGCTCCTGGCATCGTTCCCAGTGCAGGGAGGACGCAGAGGTCATGGAAACTGGCACTGCAAACCCTACTCGATGGGGAGAGGCTCCTTGCAGCTACCCTCCAGCCCTGCCTCCCCGGTGGCCCGGGGTTATCACGGTGACTCACAGGGCATGAGGCGTGGGCCTCGCAGGCTGGCCCTGTGTTTCCCTGACCTCTCCCCCGAGGTCTGTAAGCTTAGATTAGCCTCGAATCATCTTATCAGTGCAGCACAGGCATGAGGAGGCCAGACCTGGCAGTGGGGGTTGCAGGAGGCGTCTTGGTGGTCCAGCTGCTGGGGGGCTAGTGGTGAGGTGGGCTGAGTGGGGAAGCAGAGCCCCGTGCCCTCGTGTCCTCCACACCTGGGATTCTCCCTGGGGGCTGGGCATGGGAAGGATGCCATCTGAGTCACACGTTGCCAGGGCCCTGGTGAGCCACACTCAGCTCCCGTCCCACCCTCGAGCCCGTGAATGAGGATATTGGAGGTTCAGGGTGATCCGCCGTCGCATGCTAGAGGCACATGATCTGGAACGTTACCCGCTTCTCATGATTTCTTCCAAACAGCCCAACCACTTACATCTGGGTGTCGGCTGTCAGTGGGACGGGGAGTTGGTGGGCCGTCGTGCCCCTGCAGAAGCTGTGTGGGGCCCCGCACACTCACTGTCCGCCCTGTGTTTCTGTCCCCAGGAGCCTGATCAGGTATATGAGGGGATCACCTTCGAGGACTTCCTGAAGGTGAGTGGCCTGGGTGTGGGGGCCTCAGGGGACCCCTGAAGACCTCATGTGGCCCACTGGTCAGGATGGGAGAGGGTTCGTTATCTGCAGTGGCAAGGGACAGGCTTCCTGGGTGATGGGCATCTCAGTAGGAAGGGGTTAACCTAGGCATGGCCTTTAAAGCAATTTAAGCTGGTTTTTCTTATTTTGATGGAAAAGGTAATATTCACACTTAGTCAAAACAACATAAGCAGTACAAATGGGTATACAGTGAAAACCAACTTCTCTCCCACCTGTGGGTTGGGGAGTGCAGGAGGCATCCCGTGCCTCTTCTCAGAAGTAATCTCTGTTGCAGGCCAGGTGCAGCGGCTCACGCCTGTGATCTCAGCAGATCACCTGAGGTCAGGAGTTCAAGACCAGCCTGGCCAACATGGTGAAACAGCATCTCTACTAAAAATACAAAAATTAGCTGAGCGTGGTGTTACATGCCTATAATCCCAGCTACTGGGGAGGCTGAGGCAGGAGAATTGAACTCGGGGTGGAGGTTGCAGTGAGCCGAGATCACGCCACTGAACTCCAGCCTGGGTGATAGAGTAAGACCCTGCCTCAAAAAAGAAAAAAAGAAAAAAGAAAAAAAAAGTAACCCCTGTTGTAATTGGAGCAGGGATTCTGGGAACTTTCTGTTTCTTGGAAGCTCAGATCGGAGCCGACTGCACACGGTGTGCCCAGGCCTTCCTTGCCATGTCCTAAGATGTCACTTTCATAAAATGGCCACCCACTCAGCCCTCCTCCCCCATGGCTTCTCCAGCCTCTGCGAGTGGATGGCAGTTAGACCAGTGCTGGCCTTGGAAATCAAGACCTGCTCCTGGCCATTTTGATAATCAGATGCCCTGTGGCAGGGAGATGACGCCCCCACCCCCTCCCCCCACGTCAGCCCTGGCCATCACAACAGTGTTCCCAAGTGTTTTTGGGGGCTTAGGGAAGACAAAGGAGGTCAGGGGAGCACAAGCCCAACAGAAGAGAGAGGATTAGGGAGGAAGGATCACTGCTTCTGGCCAGGTAGCCCAGGTCTTCAGGGTCACAGCCCCGTGGAGCCGAGGCTGAGCCTAGCAGCCAACAGTTAGACCTGGCAGGAGAGAGGACAGGCAGGAAGCGAGGCCCGGCTGTGATTGAAAGGCTGAAATGAGACAGCGGAGGTCCGCTGCCCCACACCCAGCACTGCCGTACAGATGGCCCACCCCAGGGCCAGCGGGGTGGACAGACAGGGAGAAGGCAGAATGTGCACTTGTGCTTCAGGATCACTCTGGCTGATGCTGAGGGGGCCCGGTCACCTGAGAAGGCGATGTCTGCCAGAGCAAGACAACAGAACAAAGAGCTAGATGAGTAGAGGAGAGAGGGAGGGTTGGGGAGGAAGGATGAATTTCTTTGCCTCTAAAACCAACTTCCTTCCCCTAAAGGCTGGCCTCCGCCAGGACCCTAGTGCTCCCCAAGCCTGTCCCCCTTACCCCTGAGGAGTCTTTGGGGACCAGCCAGCTCCTCCCATTCCCTGGTTCCTTCCAGTGCCCACCTGGCACTTAGCAGAAGCCACCATGAGTGTCCACATGTCTTACCCTGAGAACGCCTCATGCACCCAGCAAGGATGGGGGCTGCTTGACTGGAACCAGAGCTGTCTTTGCACACCCTGTGACACTCAGAACAGGCTCAGGAAAGCAGGAAGTACCTTGGGGGCTGTGGGCCATGGAGCAGTGGCCAGACATGTCCCAAAGCCTCCCTGTCACCTGGGTACCCACAGGGCTCTGACTTTCCCCCCATTACCAGCCTCGTGGCTGTTCCCGGAGATGCTGAGAGTGACAGCCTGAGAGTTTGAAGTTCTTACATAAGCAGGGAGGCAGTGAGAAGTCACCCGCCTACCACGTCCCTCCGTTCCTGCTCGCACCCCACCATCCCACCATCTGTGGCCCCCGTGGGCCCTGAGTTGCTCAGGAGCTGACAGGCAAGGCCTTGAGAGTGTGAGTGCACGGCTTTGTAGCATAAAGGCCCCTCCAGGGCCAGGGCCAGGGTGGACCCTGATGGCAGTACCAGTGCCAGGTCTGGGGCCATGATGTGATCTTTGGGTGGAAATGACCTTTTAGGACGCGAGTTTGTCTTTCTAGAGTACACATGATCCCTTATCCCAGGGAGGTTGCCAAGACCACTGTGGAGATGGTGAAATTGACGGTGATGGCCTAAAAGAGCCTTGTAACTGCACAGCCCCTAAGAGTTTACAGAATGCTTCCGTGATGAGGATGGGTCCATTACAGCCCACAGTGTTCCGTGAAGTGGGTGGCACAGGTTGGGGGTCCCACATTGTACCCATGGAAAGGGGACTTAATGGGGTTATGTAATTTGCATGAAAATCACAGTGCCTAAAGTGGTGGGTGAGATTCAGATGACTTGGAGCTAAGAGCTTGGATGCAGTACTTAATAATAACTTGCTGTGACAATCTCAGAATCCAAATGTCAGAGCCAAATTAACCAGCAAAAAAGACAGATGGAAGTTTTCGTCCTCGCTTAGCTCATAGTCTTGAAATGCAGCGCTCTGGTTTTCACCTGCCCAGAGAAAGCGTCCCTGTTGGCAGTAGCAGAACGTAGGTGGGGAAGGGCCAAGGACCGGGGCCTGGTCAGGTGCGAGGTGGTGGTGGGAATGTGCCCTTAATGCGGCTCCATCCCTTCCAGATCTGGCAGGGGATCGACATTGAGACCAAGATGCACGTCCGCTTCCTTAACATGGAGACCATGGCCCTCTGCCACTGAGCCGCCGCTGCCTCCACGGAGGAACTGCACTTTGCACTGGGGCCACCTCCCCACGATGCTGGAGCAGCCCAGGCCAGGCCAACGGCCTCTCCCTACAGCCCTGGTGCATAGCTAAGGCTCGTCCGCTCACCATGTGTCTTGTAGGGTATGGTATGTGGGACTTTGCTGTTTTTATCTCTAATAAAAAAAAAAAAAAAAGGTTTGTTAATGAACGTGGCCTCTGTCAGTTCCTCATGTCCATTAAAGTGGCCAGTTCACTTCAGTCAGCCTGAGACTGACTGTGAGGAATAAGCAACAACCGAATTATTTGTTTAGGAGACAGGGCCTCCCTCTGCCGCCCAGGCCGGAGTGCAGAGGTGGGATCTCGGCGCACTGCAGCGTTGACCTCCTGGGCTCAGGCTTCCAAGGAGCTGGGGCTACAGGCTTGCACCACCACACCCGGCTAGTTTTTACATTTTTTGCAAAGACAGAATCTTAATATGTTGCCCAAGCTGGTCTCTTACAACTGGGCTCAGGCGATCCTCCTGCCTCAGCCTCGCACAGTGCTGGAATTACAGGCGCGAGCCACCACACACACCCAGCCTAAATAACATGAAAAGATTGGTTTGGCAGAAGGAGTGTTCTCTTTCTTTTGTCCATTATTTATTTATTTTTATTGCATTTTAGGTTTGGGGTACATGTGAAGAACATGCAAGATAGTTGCATAGGTACACACATGGCAGTGTGATTTGCTGCCTTCCTCCCCTTCACCTATATCTGGCATTTCTCCCCATGCTATCTCTCCCCAACTCCCCACCCCCCACTGTCCCTCCCCTATTCTCCCCCACAGACCCCAGTGTGTGATGCTCCCCTCCCTGTGTCCATGTGTTCTCACTGTTCAACACCCGCCTATGAGTGAGAACATGCGCTGTTTCACTTTCTGTTCTTGTGTCAGTTTGCTGAGGACGATGGTCTCCAGGTTTCTTTTGTTCATTTTTCATAAAGTATCTGCTTTTCTCCCTGTGTAAGTCCCAGGAACCCATCCGCCTTCTCCATCTCAGGGAGTCAGTTAAGGAGAAGCAGCTCCGGCCGTTCGTGGGCTTCTGAGGGGGCCAGGACTCAGGCAGGGGGGCCTCCGCACTGTCACAGCCACATCCGTAGACTGATGGAGAAAACATCTGGAGCCCCGAGCCTGTGCCTGCTGCGGGGATGCCCCTAGCCCACTCTGTTGGTCCATGGGCACGGTGGGGAGAGTCAGGAGCTGGCTGGCTGACCAGGCACTCCCAGCTCCTCCCCAGGGGTTCTGCCAGCCATGGCTGTGCCCCTGGCTCTTTGTGGCAGTCCTGAGCCAGTTGCAGGACCCAGGGCCTTGCAGTCCTCCAGGAAGCAGCGGCAATGGAAGCTGGGTAGGTGTCTGGCCCAGGTAAGTGTCTCTGACAACTTCAGTTACCATCTTTCGATCTGGGGACTGGCTAGAGCTGGGGACAGGGAGGCAAAGGTTGTTGGTCTCGGTTGTGGTGTCCTGGAGTCAGCAGCAGGCTGGCACCTGTGGGGCTTGGAGAGCTGTGTCCTGGAGGCGCTGGGACAGCCTGCTGAGTGTGACTTCCCCAACTCCCTGTGTAGGCTGCCAGCTCATGAGTGTGACATTGGGGACCCTGGATGACGCAGTCCCATCGCTGTGCAAGGCTGGCAAGCATTGGCTTTCCAGGCCTCTTTCTGGGGCTTAAGTTCACAAACGCCCTGTTCCTTTATTGACCCTCCCTGGGTGGCGGCGTACTGGCCTCCCAGGAGAGCTCTCTCGATAACTGGCAGTGGCTAGTATTTGCATTCTTGACATGTTCATAGTTTTGATATTAAACGTGCTTTATCTTCTTTACTACAAGCTCATGCCTCGCAGTTCAGAATTTAAAAGGTTCGAAAAGGCAGGCCGTGGAGCCTGCCCGACCCCAGCCCCAGGCTCCATTCTCAGAGGCGGGTGTGTTAGCTGCTGCCTTAGGTGTCCCTCCCGAGCCATCACACGTGTAAGCAAATGTGTGCGTCAGCATTCTTAGTTCACTCCACTTTTAAAAAAATGTATTTATTATACTTTAAGTTCTGGGTACATGTGCAGATCGCACAGGTTTGTTACATAGGTAAACACATGCCATGGTGGTTTGCTGCCTCCATCGCCCCGTCATCTACATTAAATATTTCTCCTAATGCTATCCCACCCCAATCCCCCCATCCCCTGCTATTCCTCCCCTATCCCCCAATCCCTTAGGCCCTGGTGTGTGATGCTCCCCTCCCTGTCCATGTGTTCTCATTGTTCAACTCCCACTTATGAGTGAGAACATGCAGTGTTTGGTTTTCTGTTCTTGTGTCAGTTTGCTGAGAATGATGGTTTCAAGCTTCATCCATGTCCCTGCAGAGGACATGAACTCATCCTTTTTTATGGCTGCATAGTATGCTATGGCGCATATGTGCCACGTTTTTTATCCAGTCGATGGGCATTTGGGTTGGTTCCAAGTCTTTGCTATTGACAACTCCACTTTTTGGAAATGGTGATATTTACAAGCCTTCAGTGTCTGTTTTGCGAGGTTCCAGGTGGAGACGTGTGAACAGGGGAAGTGATGAGCCCAGGGTGTCTGCTTTTCTGGCCTCCGCTCAGCAGGCCCCTTCTTTTATTCCATTTTATATTTATTTTATATTTTATTTATTTTTTGAGCACAGGGTTGCAGTGCAAGTGGTGCAGTCTCAGCTCACTTCAACCTTTGCCTCCCTGGCTCAAGCAATCCTCCTCCCTCGGCCTCCTAAGTAGCTGGGACTACAGGCGCCTGCCGCCACACGTCTAACTTTTGTATTTTTAGTAGAGACAGGGTCTCCCCATGTTTCCCAGGCTAGTCTTGAACCCCTGAGCCTATATAGTCCACCCACCTCTGCCTCCCGAAGTACTGGGATTACAGGCGTGAGCCACAGCGCTGAGCCACACCCTGCCACTTTAAAGGCTCAGGGAGTCCATTCGGTCCAGCACATCATAAGCGCAGCCCCTGGACAACTGTTCTAGGAGACGGTGGCTTGTGCTTAATGCTGCAAATGCCCGGAGCCCAGATGGCACCGAGATGCCCCATCTCCACTCCAGCGTCTAGCCTGGTGTGGTCCAGTGGGAACCCCATGCAGTGGAGTGGCTGCAGGGGAGCCTCTTCTCTCAGCCTCAGACCAGGGACCCCTGGCCACGTGCATGTGGACAGTTGTCACATCTCAGGCAATGGTGGGCACAGCAGACAGAAACAATCATTGTTGGATGCATTCCCACGGATCTGTTCCCCGAGGGCTCTCATGCCCCTGCCCCCTCGAGAGGTGCTTGAGAGGGTTCTTCTGGGTGTTTCATGGATGAATACTGACTTCAACAGGTGTATTCCTCTTTTAATATGTGTAAGAAAGAAAGGAACTTTACCCCATGCCAGGGAGCCCATGGGATACTGCTTAGTATGAGTTGAAAGTCAGGACTTAAATTTAAAAACACAGCCAAGCAGCACAGGGAGCTAAACGGCCAGGTGACCCGCCACTCAGGGAGCAGGAAAAGGGCCCTGGGAAAGTGAGTGCGGCTTGGGGAGGCTCGCTTTGGTTAATGCGCACCTCCTGGGCAGGTACCAAGCTGCCGCTGAGAGGCTGTTGACTCTGTGCCGTCATTGTCATTGTAAGCACCTGGCAGAGCCTGGTGGACACCAGACAGCAGCATGTGCCACCCCAGGCTCTCCTGAGGCCTCTGCTCTCTGCAGGTCGGTGGCTGGAGGCAGGTTCAGTCTTTCCGGGGCAGGGAAATTGCATGGTCTGAAATCACCTCCAGAACTCAGCTTCTCAGTCTAGCACTCCATTCAGCACTCAAAGCTGCAGGGCGGACCAGGCGCAGTGGCCCATGCCTGTGCCTTTGGGAGGCCGAGGCAGATGAGTCACTTGGTCAGGAGTTTGAGACCAGGCTGACTAACATGGTGAAACCCTGTCTTTATTAAAAATACAAAAATTAGCTGGGCGTGGTGGTGAGTGCCTGGTAGTCCCAGCCACTCGGGAGGCTGACGCAGGAGAATCACTTGAACTTGGGAGGTGAAGGTTGCAGTGAGCTGAGACTGTACCGCCGCACTTCAGGCTGGGCCACAGAGCAAGACTCTGTCCCAAAAGAAAAAAAAGAAAAGCTGCAGGGCAAAGACAGAGGTCTGTTCCCTGTCCTCAAGTGCTGGCTACTGTGTGGGAGACAAAGCCCTGGGGCTTCCAAGTGGATCCCGGAGGTTTCCTCCAGAGGGAAGTGGGACGCGATCCCTCTCACCCTTGCTCCCTGCCTTCCCTTGCTGCTTGGGAGCCTCTTAATCCCCTGGCTGCCAGCGGAAGGCACCTAGAAAGTCACTAGGACAGCCTGGTGGGGATCAGCCTTACCGTAAGAACCACCCTCTCCCAGCCCCCACGCACCTTGCCCTGCCCTGCCTTGCCCATGTGAGCGGGACAATCTCTGGTACCACTGAGCAGGAGGGACACTGGCACCACCACCAGAGGCCCCTGGCTTTCTGGGACCCTCCCAGTTTGCTTAGATTTGGTTCTTTTCAACAAAGGCACTACATTAATGTGAAGTGTTTTTATAAATAATAAATCACTTTCCATCAGCCCCGTGCCCCGAGTTTTAGTTTGGGAGATGTGGCTACGACGGGCACGCATCAAATATGCTGCCCTGTTGGGGCCACTGAGGGCTGAGCCTGATGCCTTTGAAGCTTCAGGCCACCGCTTACCTAAACAGCTAATTAAAATGAGGTTGAGTCACCGTGAGCCCAGTCCACACCGCTCAGAAGAAAGCTCATTTGTGCATAATCACTGAGGGTGTCCTCTAATTGGCAGGGTTAGGGCTCATTTCCACCAGACTGTGGATGCAGAAATCACCTGGTGCTCTCCTGCCTGGCTCCTGGCATTGTCTGTGGCATCCTGGGAGCCATCAGGGTTGGTGATGAGTTGGTGCAAACCTGCTCCCAGAAGGGGTAGGCTGATGCATCTTGTGGGGCTGCTGGCCTCTGATCAACAGAGACTGAGGGTTGCTGCTCCGGGCACCGATCTTGGTCAGCCCCACCATCTGGGCACTGCGGTCTGTGCCTCAGGCTGGAGGCAGGTGGTTTGGAAATGGCTCTCGTTACCTGCTGGACAATGGGGCGTGCCCACAAGGGGATTTCTGGCCTCACAGACCCTCCCCCAGGTGCAGCAAGCCCCTCTCGTCCCTGGATGGGGATAGGAACTGAATGACTGGGGCACCTCCACTCTGGCAGCCCGAAGGAGGTGATGTTTGCCCGGAAGCCTGGTCAGCAGATGAGTGATAACCACATAAACGGGTTAACAGCCTTCCTTCCATCAGAAATGACACCCTGACACCCGTGACTAAAAGGAACTCGGCAGAAATCAACACTAGGTCAAATATTTGAAGAAAGCTGATAAGTTTGTCCTTTGAAGGCCACAGGTCGTAGGTGGAGAAGGCTGAGCAGGGGCGGCGTCCTCGGCCTTTTGTCCTTTGAAGGCCACAGGTCGTAGGTGGAGAAGGCTGAGCAGGGGCGGCGTCCTCGGCCTGCTGGACGTCGGGGGAGGTCACCTGTGTCCATACTCTTCAGCCATCTGCCAGGAATAGTCTAAAGCGAGCTGTACTAATATTGCCGTATTACCAAGGGGAAAGGTTGGCTTTTGGATGTTGAAAGAATATGGCAATTTGACACAAACGCTCTAATTTGGTAGGTTTACAAAAGGGCTGTGTGATGGAAATCTAATATGAGCAGCTCAGGGGACATGCTGCAGCCACGTTAAGCATGAATTATGGATAAGGGAACAGAGTAAGATGACAGCAGCTTCCAGCGCTGGCCAAATACCCTCTTAGGGAACGAATTATTGCTAGACTTTAACAAAACAATGCTATTGTTTTCTGGGCCAAGGGACTAGAAAGTTCTTTTTACACTTTGCTAATAGGAGACGGGTCATCTGTGGATCTGATCCTTGTCACAGGGCAGCTGAACCTGTCCTCACCTGCCTGCAGTTAACGAGGCTGAGGCTGAACTCTGCTGGAAACAGCGCCGTGTGACTTAAGTAGGCTGATGGAGAGTTAAAAATACAAGTTGCCTTGGCAAGCCATTTGCAAACACCTGCCTTGCAGGCTGTCCTCCCACACAGCGACCTTGGGAAAGCCAGGAAGAGCTGAGTAGGGGGAGCCAGGGCGGAACCGCTCCCCGTATCGTCTCTGTCTTCTTGCAGAATTTGCACGTGGCAGTCAGCAGGGGCTTAGTGGTGGACCAGCCTGGTCCGAGGAGGACTCACGACTCCGAGGAGGACGTGGTGGCTGCTCGGCTCTCTAATCTGATTGTTAACCAAGTCAGCGAGGAACTGGGCTCCGGTCTCATAGAGGAAGGGCTGGCACCCCAAGAGTGGCTGTGATGGAGTGGCAGTGGTGGAGGGTCCCACTGAGGAGCTAGCTGCCATGTCTGTCTTAGAGAAATGACAAGGCAGCATGTGCCCGGGCGTTGGGGGCAAGGGAAGAAGAGACACAGCAACAGCTCAGCTGCAGGGAAAGAAACAGCCCCCCGTGCAGAGCAGTCAAACGGTTGCTTCTGGAAGCCCACACTCGGCATTAGAAGCCGAAAGTGGGCTGGGGACAAGGCACCCGCCAGAGCCCAGTGAGAGGGACTGTGCCATCGAACATTAGAGGCAGCCCTGGTCCAAGTCGCCGCAGGCCCCTGCAGCGGTAGCCAGGTAACCATCTGGCCTGGCCTCATGGGTGATGCGGGCAGGCCTGTGTGGCTTACAGCACCTTGGCCGGCCAGCGCTGTAAGCTCACTGCTGCCGCAGCTGCTGCTCAGAGCGGAGGCTCCATCAGGCAGCGGGTGACTGCCCTGTGGGAGCCCCTGTGGTGGCCTGCCCGGAATAGCAGCCACCGGACCGTTGTCATGAGAAGGCTGGCCCATCACTGGGGGAAGCCGTTTCTCTGCAACTGTAAGCAAAGTGGGTTTGCTGCGACCAGCATTTGCCTCTAACATGTGGGGTGGGAAGCTCTAGCCCCTGAAACGCGGGGCCTCCAGTTCTTAAGAGGTGGGATGGGAGTGAAGGACTTCATCTTGTGGGTATCAGCCGTCCCCTTCAGAAAGGACCAAGCCCTTCTCCTGGGGAAATTCACTTTCCTTTTGGTCAGCTGAAACCCTAGCATTCAGCTGGGGCAGGGAGTTCTGCTTGGTAGGAGAAGGTGGCGCCGTCCCTGGAGTGTCTCTGAAATGTGAATTATTGCCTGGGCAACAGGGCAGCACAGGGCTTGGGTTACAGAACGCACTCTAGTGGCAGAGATGACATTCTCAGGAGGGCTGTGGGCCCTTCGAGAATCTGATGAGAGGTAACCATGCTTTTTCCCAGAAAATGCCCCCATGCACTGTTTCACACACAGCAGGTCCTTGAATAACATCGTTTCATTCAATGTCATTATGTTATAACATTGAGAACTAAATTGATTCCTGGCTGGGTCCACCGTCTGTATGGAGTCTGGACGTCCTCTCCGTCTGTGCGAGTTTTCTGGGCACTTTGGTTTCCTCCCACACCCCAAAAATGTGCAAATGAAGTTTGTTGGTGTCTGAATAGTTGTGGTCTGTGTGTATGTGTGTGTGTGTCTAGTGGTGGGAGGTTGTCCTGTCCAGGGTGGGTCAGGACAGGACACCCTCCCACCACTAGACACACACACACGTGGGCCCCTGGGAGAGGCTCTGGTCACCCACCACCTTGAACTGGAATAACTTGAGTTGGAAAATGAGAGGAGTGAATAAAATAAAAATTCAGTCTCGCATAATCATACACATGCACGACAGTAAATGGCGCCATCCAGAAGCCCGGTGGGCCGGCTCGTTGCAGCGTGTGACCTGTGTGGTGGAAGGTGCTCCTGACAATTTCTGCTTTGCAAACATTTCGTGATTTAACCCACCAGCGCTGCAGCTGCCAGCACCGAGTCACCAAAAATTGGGTAAATAATTACCTTGTTGTTTTTAGTAATTTTTCTTAAACATATGTATAACTCCCATTTATTGAATGTTTAATATTATAAGTGGTTTAAAGTTCTAAAGTTTGGTGATGTTTTTATGGCCAGAAATATGCCGTGGGAACTTAACTCTTGTTTACATTAATTAGCCTACAGTAAAATTAGTGTCATCACACATCATTATGCTTAAAGTTGCTGTTTCTTTTTTTGAGGCAAAGTCTCGCTCTGTCGCCCCGGCTGGAGTGCAGTGGAGCGATCTCGGCTCACTGCAACCTCTGCCTCTCCAGTGCAAGTGATTCTCTTGCCTCAGCCTCCCGAGTAGCTGTGATTACAGGTGCATGCCACCAGGCCTGGCTAATTTTTGTATTTTTAGTAGAGACAGTGTTTTCCCATGTTGCCAGGGGGTCTTGAATTCCTGACCTCAGGTGATCCGCCCACCTTGGCCTCCCAAAGTGCTGGGATTACAGGTGTGAGCCACTGTGCCCAGGCAAAATTAGAGTTGCATTATACCTCCTTTGGCTTAGCTGCAGTTTCTAAGAACACCTATTAAAGACGGTTGGTGAGGACTTACTATATAATGCTGTGGGTTTCTTGGATCCTGAGCTAGGAGCCCCTATAGTGGAGGTTCTGGGAAAACTACTTGCCTGAGGGTTTACAAAACAAAGCCATGGTGGGAGGTAAGATACCAAGGGGGTGGGAAGAGAGCTGGAACCAGGGCATACCAGGGTTATCACTGTATGTCTTGCCCGATAACTTCACCAATAAATACATTCAAAACATTTAATATCAGAACAATACAGACATAATAAAGTACAAAGCAAGTCCGACAGTGGTTTGAGATGACACATGAGATCTTCGGTGTTGCGCTGCCCAGCTCCCCCCAGCATGCTTGTCTCTTCTACCTTTGGGGGAGCCACAGATGGAGGAGTCTGAGGGGACTAAAGGAGAGGATTCATCCCTAAAAACTCAGAACTTGTGAAAGGGCCTGGATAAAGGTAAGGTGACTTGATTTGGATAAACGTTGGCTTATCCAGAAGCATCTACCCTTTCCCTGTCATGTGATTTCTTCCAGGATGTTCAGGTTTGCAGCAGAAGACATGGTCTGAAGTTGGCGTGCCTGAAGATTACAGTTTGGGTTCAATCTTCTTACAAGATGCAGGCAACTTTCATGAATAGCAGGTGGGTTACAAACAGGCTTTGGTGTGGGAGGGGCTGCAGTTGTGACATTTTTATGCTGGACCAGCTGCTGGCTGGCCGTATTCTGGGTCTAATGTCTTTTAAAGTTTGTTATCTCTAATTGCTGCAAAGTTAGGAAGGGAGAATGTACCTGCAAAATGAACTGTGAATGCAGACTGGACGGGGCTGCTTTTTGAAAAGAAAACCATTTCAGTGGTCCAGATGCATTAAGACTATGAAAGAGAAAGGGTGGGGCTCGAAGAAAGCCTTACAGAGCGAGGTCACCAGTGAGCAGTCTGACCACCACATGATGACAGCAGAAGTACACGAAACCCTGCATTTGCTCCCTACAGGGCGTCTCCATTTAGGAAGCCATCTGGTTGAAAGGAAGCAGAAAACCCTCTGGTCCATCTGCCTCACAGGAAGGCAGGGGCTGAAAGAAAGCAGTGCCCTCTGGACAGGGAGGTGATGCTTCCCAGTCGCTGCTCTGTCTGCTCCATTCCCCTGTGTATTTGGAGATGAATGTGGAATGGCTATCTTAAGCAATCTGATCCAGAACCTTCATGACTTGAAAGTTCTAGGTTTCTGAGAATGGCAAAGCACTTCCCTCTGATACATACACATGTGCAGTTGAGGATGTGTTTTTTTCCTGGGATGAATGTGGGCGAATGATTCCCACACGAAAGGTGCTTCTCCTACCTCATCACTTCCTCTTCTTTTCCGCATAGCCCCTTTGCACCTTTTTGTTTTATCCAGAGTTGCGTTGTTTGTTTTTTAAAGCACTGCTTTTGGGCCAGGTGTGGTGGCTCACATCTGTAATCCCAGCACTTTGGGAGGCCAAGGCAGGCGGATCATGAGGTCAGGAGTTTGAGACCAGCCTGGCCAACATGGCAAAACCCGGTCTCTACTAAAAATACAGAACTTAGCTGGGCGTGGTGGGGGGGGGGGGGGGGGGCTGTAATCCCAGCTACTTGGGAGGCTGAGGTTGCAGTGAGCCAAGATGAGGCCATTGTACTCCAGCCTGGGTGACAGAGCGAGACTCCACCTACAGAAACACCACAGAAACCTGCTTTTGGCTATTAGCTATCGGTTTTCAATTCCATCAGTGTCTGTTTTTGTCCTGAGTAAGCTCTTCCCTCTGCTTGCTTTGGGGCTCCTCTCAGTCCCTTCCAGCTTCATCCCCTGGGTTTTATACTCGGCGCTTTTACCGTCAACTCAGTCTAATGAGTTTATATTTTGTTTTTAGTAAACTTTTTAAGTCCAAGTTAACTCGGGAGTGTCTACTTTGCTTTTTGTTGATTCCTTGTGATTCTGCATTGGGGTCAATTTCTAGAAAAGCAGGGCCCTGCCTGAGGGTATAGCGCACAGGGTGCGATGTGTCACGGTGCGGGGAGGTGGGGGGTGGTTCTATAATGTGGCCTTTATGGTTGGAATCTTTGCACATCTGAGATGTTCTCCGTGGCCTTCATACGTGGTGGCCTTTTGCGCATGGTCTACGTGTGTATGAAATTCCCTACACACCTCCTGGATCCAGCTTGTTAGGGATATTAAGTAAATCCTCCAGATCTTTTAAGTTTTTCTCATTGAGTTGGTCTGCTGATCACCTGCTGTGAGAATGGATTTTATTTCTCTTTGTAGTTCTATCAGTTTTTGCTTTGATATTCTGAAGGTACAGTAGGTGGATGCCAGTGTTTAGAAATGTTGAAAATCAACAGTAAGGCAATGGCTTGCTTCTGGAATGCTTTGGAAATGGCAGCTCTGTTTTCTCCTGTCCTGTTTCATCTTGATGGCTGCTTAGTCAATATTTAGAAAATAGTTACTTTATATCACATATCATAGACAATCGTTAGCAAAAGAGTCATTAATGACTAAACTGTGCAAGTATATAATTATAAACCTGGTAAAAGCTGTGAAGAGAAAGTATGGCCCTACCAGCTTGATGCTGGAAGGTGATGGTGGCGAGGTGGCAGAAGAGCACCCTAAGTAAACATAGGGAAACGGACGTGGAGATTAATGCCTTGGAGGCCAGGGACAGGCCCATCCAAAGGCCCTCAGAGGAAAAGGGGAAAGAGGCTGAACAGGGGCCGTGTGGGACCTCAGTGAGAGTCCCAAGGTGGCGTGAGGGATCCGAGGCCAGGGTGGCTGGATGGCTGGGGGCGCCAGGGCTGGGATATGTTTGAGTCAGAAGCATGTGGGACTCGAGCCCCAGCAACGGCAGCTTTCCCAGGTGCCGGGGGCAATCGGGTAGGGGCAGGAGAGACGCGTGTGTCAGGCACTGTGCCTAGGGCTGCTTTCTTCCCCTGTGCAGAGCTGCCTGTGGTTTTAAGATGGATAAAACTGGTTCTTCCCATTTTTCTCCTTGCTCCCAGCTGAGGCACTTCTCTAAACATGGTTATAGGGAAAAGCCAGTGCAAGGTCGTAGTAGTGAGTGGCCATGGTGTCGCAGGAGGAACGGCAGGCAGGGAGTGGGCTCTGGAAGGCCAGCTGGTCTACCGCAAACTCATAGGCGCGGATCAGCCCCTGGTGTCTAGAGAGAGCACAAAGAGAACGACAGGTCAGGGCTGCCTCACTGGTCCTCGCCCGGCTGCATTTGCCTGAGGCCAGACAGAGGTTCATCTTCACAAAGGTGTCCTCTGGCACACAGTGTCAGTCACTCACAGTCCCGGGCTTAGTGGTCAGTGGGTGGGCACAGCAAGTGTCACAGCGCGAGGCGCTGAAGCAAGGAGCCCAGGCCACATCTAATGACAGAGGCACCTGCACCTACCTGCAAGGGGGTTGGGCGGGGGGGCGTCTCTTGCTTGTCAGCCAAGTCGCCCAGCAGACTGAGTACAAGGACTTGACTTAAAGAGGACAGGGTCTTGCCCCCATGACCGGATTCTAAGCACAGCAGGCTTCTCAGCATATGGCTTTCCTCCCTCTCTATGCAGCCGACAGAGTGGACCCGCCCCACAGGGCTATCCCGCATCAGATGCTGGGAGCTCGGTACAGGTCAGCATCCACGTTTATGTTCCCAATTCCTAGAAAAGCAGGGCCCTGCCTGATGGTATAGCCCATAGGATGCAGTGCATTACAGGGTTGCGGGGAGGGGATTCTACACATCGGTCAAACTAAGATGGTCTCTTCTGAACATGGGCAGATCCAGCACCGCCCACCGCTCACCTCCTGTGAGGAGTGAAGTTGTCCCGGTCGGCGTTCCGCACCACCGGCTGGTAGGGCACGTTGGCTGTGATGAGGCTTCGACTGCTGAATGAGATGTGCTTTACGGGGTGTCTGGAAGGCAGCGGGAGAGAGCTCAGAAGGCTGTGTCTGTGCGGCCTGCGTCCTGCCCTTGCTGCTGTGGATCTGGGGCTTCAGAACTGTAGGGATTCTAGAACCGAGAAGCTAAGCTTCTTTTTTACACAGGAGGGAGCAGTGTCTCACCTCAGTTCCCAAAGCTCAGGTGACAAGGCCACACTCTGGGCACGACTCTAAACAGGTCTGCGTGCCCCGTACCCATGCTGGTGCCTACCCCAGCAACCTGGTACGCTCTGACAATCTACTGGAAACAAATCAGCCACATGCAAGAGACTGGCCCCTCGATGCCTCCCTGGGCAAGTCCCTTGAGCTCTCCCAGTCAGGCGCCCCATCATCTAGAGGGCACTGGGGGCGTGTCAAGTGTCAGGCCATTAAAGGCGCCTCCACCTGCTCACAGGGCTGCAGTGATGCATGTACCCTGGGTGGTGAAAGCAGGTTCAGTCAATCTTGGAACAAAATGCTTCTAAGTTTGTTGAACAGAGGCTTGTGTTGGTTCTGAACCTGGTGGAGCACCTGCCGTGGTCACGGCACTGAGCTAGGAGACGATGGATTAAAAAGATGTCTCATCCAGGTGGATGTCTGCCCCAGGGAGGGCCCTAGCTAGTGAAGAAGGTAAGATGCAGTCCCAGAAAATGTGACCAATGCTTCTGAAGCACGAGGGACCTTACAAGCTACAAAGAGCGTGTGACCCAGAATGAAGCGCTGGGAGGAGCAGCAGGAGGCGCGGCAGGCTGAAAGGGTCTGCCAGGAGGGGGCACAGGAGGGACAAGGCCTGTGTGGCTGATCCCAGGGCGGCTGGGGCTGCACCCCTTGACTAATGCACAGGACTCTTGGGAGGGAAGCTGGGGAGCAGGTGGAGCCCTGCCTCCCTGGGGTGGGGACACCCACAGGAGGAGAGTGGTGGCAGACTTGGCATGAGGCCTGGAGGATGAGAAACCCCACAGAGGGAGGGAGGGCAGGCTTGGTGGAGGCCTGCAGCCTAGCAGACTCATAGTGCCCTGTCAGGCAGGCGAGGACCAAAGGGAGAACCCTGAGAGGACCTGGGCTGGAGAGATTGAAGTAGATAGTGGGAGGGACATGACAGCCAGCCCGGGGATATAAGCACTCGGGCCTGGCAGCAGGCACCGCAGATGGGGACTTGAGCAAGTCAGTGAGGTCTGGGCAGGAGACTGTTTGTCCGTGAGCCTTGTGTTGCTGAAAACAGTGACTGCTTAAGGGACTGAGGCAGTGCTGGGACAGGACCACACCCTGGGAAGGAAGGCCGTCCTTACAAGGCTTCATCTCAGTGGCCTGTCCCAGGGAGTGAAGCTTTCAAGAGACAAAAATGAGAGCTGCTGGAGTTGGGGCTGGCGACATCCCTGAGGTGGATGCACTCAATGCTTTATAACAAATACTAGGTTTTCCTCCAGGGCAAATGCTTCCCAGAATTTTGTTGCGGGAGTTTTAGTTGCTGTTTGGCGCCACCTGGTGGCAATCTGGTGCATCACCATGGAAGTCAGAAAAAGGGCTGAGGCCTCTGGGACAGGACAGCCACAGAGAGGGGCAGGCTGGGCGGGACCCGGGTTGTGTCTGATAAAATCTGCCGGCCACAGTGTTCACCAGCACTGCCGTCCAAGGAAGAAGCCCATTCTGCATTTATCCCTGCCGCCTCGTGGAGACTTCTGTCAAATTACTGCCATTGCACTTGAAGGAAGACTATGCTGCTTCTCTGAGGTTGCGTTTATCTGGATTTGCAGGAAGTGGGGAGCAAGTCTCAGTTCATGTGCAAGGGCCTCGCCCTGTTTCTGCTCAGCTTTGTTGTCATGCTCATAGCCCACTGGCCCAGAATCTTTTTTTTTAAAGAGATGGGGTTTCATTCTGTTCCCCAGGCTGGAGTACAGTGGCACAATCACTGCAGCCTCAAACTCCTGGGCTCCACGAAGCAATCCTCCCCCATCAGCCTCCTGAGTTGCTGGGACCGCAGGTACATGCCTGGCCGAATGTCTCTTCACAGCGGCAGTGAGGGAGAGGGCCAGTTGCCTCTGTCCCCACCTGTCTCAAAAGCAGTCTCCTATTTGAGGCCTGAGGGGCCAGGCAGAGATGGTGGCCTCGAGCCTGCCCTGGGCTGCTGCTTTAAAGATCAGGGGCAGGCTCAGTGAAAATGTCTTAACCAAGCAGGCGCCATTGGCTGAAACCTACATCTGTGAAGCCATCAGCCTGCGCTGAGCATAGTATCTATTTATATCTCGAATAGTGGTGTTAAAGGTGGAAATGACGACACATTTCTCGTTTGTTGGAGCCGGAAGCCCTTCAGTCCTAGGTGCTCCTCTATCTAAACGTCATCAGCGAAGTCTATGCATCAGGCAGAAGACCATGGTCACCCATGACGGGCTCGAATGGAGGATGGCGAGCTGGGCCAGCCCTGCTTTCCACCTGTGAGCAGGTGGTGTGTCACCTCATGCTCTAGCTCAGTGAGCTTCCTATGTTTCTGAGTCACCTTTTCTGTTTATTAAGATGGAGGAAACCTAAATAGCAGCTTCATTCTTAGAGAAAGCTGGATATGAACTGTGGCGGTCTGAATGATGTCAGAGACAGGAACTGCATCCCTACTGCCAGCGCCATTCCAAGCCTGTTTCCTCCTCTGCAGAGTGGTGCTGGTCCAGCAGCTGGCTCCTAGGGTCACAGTGAGGGTTCACCCAGCAAAGCCCAGGGTTAGGGGGCATTTAGCACTGAGCCTGGTTCAGGCTGACTAGGGCTGCCTTCCCTGTTCCTACTAGAAACTCCCAAGAGTGTCTAGAATGCATCTTACCCAGAATACACCTCCCACAGCTTCTGGTTCATCCGATAATCCCACACGGACACCAGGCCTTCCTCGCCTCCGCTGACAATCTTCCAGTCGTCCATCTGCACAGCAGAGACCCCAAGCTGGTGGGCGGAGAGTGACAGCGTGACGTTACTGGTGCGGAGGTCGTGGATCCTCACCCTGGACAGGCCCAAGAAGAGCACAGAATGGAAATGGGGTTAGAGTCAAAGCTTGAAATGACAAACTCCCCCTCCGCTGTGCTGGTCTGTGCACAACACTGCTATGAAAGAACTCAGCTGCAAACATCAATATAATATCAGACTTTTATCTCCTAATTAGTACACTGTCAGGGAGGACCTACAACCGTCTAATCAGAATGGTTTAAAAGCACATGGAGCAAGAAAGACACAGGCCAAGGATAGTGGCTGCCCACTTGATCTGCTTAACAGGGAAGGGGCACCTGCGTCACTCAGGAGGCAGCTGAGATCTGCCTGACTCAGTGGCTGCACAAGCGGGTTGGCCTGAGAAACCTGTCCCAGCAGTAGCTGTGCTGCCTGGCACAGTAATTTTGCTGTGGGTAAACCTGGATCCTCACCCGTTAGGAAAATCCACTCGACTCTGAGTTCATCATTGTCTTGCTGGAGCTGAGGAAGGGAACGCCTTTATACTGAGCACACACAGCAGAGCAGGGATAAGGGCGTGTGCACTCTGTGCAGTCACTTCTTGAAATAATTACTTGCCTTATAATAATCCGCATTTCTTTAAGAACCTCTTTAAAAACTACTTTTTATATATGTTGAATGTTTCACAGGATAAATTAAGATAATGGGATAGAAATCTCTTATCCAGTAAAACCACCACCATACGTAGTAGTTCCCACAATAAGCCACAAAGGCTAAAAGTAAATCCAATTCATTACATGTAATAACTGTAAAGATGCATTTCAGAGACCCCATGATGCAAGTGGAAAAAGACAGTCCCTGCCCTGAAAAGACCCTACCATCCATCTGGGAACAGGACTGACACACGGATACATGATTCAATGTGATCAGAAACGCATGTCTACATGTCCTGTGCCCTGAGTCACGTGGGCAGACACACCCACTGATTTTCCAAGTTCTGAGGGAAAATTATTTTGAACCAAAAGTTCTAAACCTAGCTTAGCTACCAAGTTGAAAGGCATAATAAAGACTTTTTCTCTTCAACAGAAAAGGACTCACAATGAACTACCTGGGGATACTCTCTGAAAGAAAGTGGCACAGCAATATACCAGAACAAGAAGACAGATGGCTTAAGTGGGACCTCATGTGTCTGCTGGGTCCACAGAGGCACACAGGGCAAACCTACTAGGTCTGTTAACAAGAAGAGCTGCCAATGGATCATAAAGTAAAAATACATGCTACGCATGAAGAGCACATTTGCACAAGAGGAGGAAAAGATGTTACAATTGTGATAGTAGGAAAGGCGAAAAGCATGAGCTGAGAGTACTTTATGACAGTGAAGGGGGCGATCAAATTTGTTTTGTACAGGTTTTGTTTTTTAAAGCCAGGGCCTCACTCCCGTCTGGAAGGTAGTGGCACCGTCGCTCACTGCAGCCTCAATTTCGTAGCCTCAGGTGATCGTCTAGCCTCCCAAGTAGCTGGGACTACAAGCATGTGCCACATGCCCAGCTACTTTTTTTTTTTTTTTTTTTTTTTTTTTAAGTAGAGACGGCAGAAATCCTTCTTTAAGGAGTAACTTGGCAATATCCAACCAAATACCACACGCCCCTCACTAAGCCAGCAATTCTACTTCTAGGAGGCAGCTCTACATGTTTCACATAGACACAAGCCAGTCACCAAAGCATTGCTCTCAGTCGCAAAAGAGGCTTCTGTTTCAGACATGTTGACACTTCCACTGCAAAACGCTTACTAGTGCTGGATAAATATAACTAACAAACTTTTAAGGGCATTGCTGAGTTCACATAGTAAGTGACATCCCCCGGACCTGAGCTGAAAACCAGATGGGAGAGGGTGAGCTGTGACTTCAGTTGCCAGTGTGGTGGGGGAGGCTGCTGGCAAGCGCCAAGCTCAGGTCCATGGGTTCATCAAACACTGAAGGGCCACCAAAGGCAGGGAAGGGAGTGTGGAGATTCCTGCTTTAAATACAAAAGCATGAAAGTATAGTCCCTGAAATTAAATTCGGGAGACTGGCTGGAAGCAGAACAGAGAATGTGTGGATTAGAAGAAAAATCTGAAGGCGGCGGGGGTTAAGAGACATGAGGGACACAGGGGTGGTGCCGCATATGCCCACAGTCCCGGAAGGAGAAAACAGAGTGCAGACAGTTAAGAGCTGATGTCTTCCCAGAACTAATGAAAGACATGAGTGCCGACTCAATGCACACTAATCAATAAAGAAAGAAATACATAACTAAGAGTAACTTAAAAAATGGGAAAACGCAGACAAAGAGGTCTTAAAAACAGCCTGAGAGAAAAAGCCATGACCTATTAAGGAAAGATAATTATACTGACAGGAAAAATTAGAAACAACACATAAGCCATCATGAATCGGAATGACTGGATGTAGGTGGCACAATTAACCAGCTCATCAACTGAGTGCTAGTTAAAGCAATCACGGTACATCCATACAGTGGGACCCCTCGTAGTCATTAGAGAATGGGCAGAACCACACCGGCCGACTGGCAGCGGTGCACACAGGCATGTGCTGGGGGACACGTGTTCAGGTTGTGCATGTGCGGGCGTGCCCTGCAGAACGCTCACACTGAGCAGTCGCAATGAGCGAGGCTGACGAGGCCGCTCGGGAAGAGGGATGCACTTCGCCCTCTATGCTACCTTGCTTTTCAGTCCCATTATGAATGTGCGTACTTCCTGTTTAAATAAAACCAAACAATTTTAAAGACGAGGTTCTGGAAGCACATAACTTGAACATTAACAGCAATTACCTTGGAGAAGAATGAGGGCAATAAAGGAGGCTTTTGTGTTTTATTCTGAACACTGCCATGTTTAGAAAACAAGAATTCATCCGTGACTGGGAGGCCTTCAGCGGTACTGGTCACACTCTGTTTCCTGAGCTGAGAGGTGGAGCTGAGAGGCATTCTCTGTTGTTTTTGAAACTGTACACATACCTTCTATATGCTCCCATACATCTGTTCTGTTTCATAATTTAAAAAACAATACTTTCATCTATTTCTTAGATAAGGTGAAATAAAATAGGATGGTAACAACACATCATTTGAGAACATGGAGGAGGGACTGTTTCTTCTTCCTGCTAGGCCATGTGAACTGACAAGGCAACGCAGGAGAACAGAGAAGTCCGTTGCTACAAATGCTATTCAGTCCCAGACCTGCCAGTGAGGGATCTGGGACCAGAAAGACGCAGAGAGCATGAAGACTACAGTGAAAACCAAGGTGTCTCTCGGAAGCACTTACAGACACCTCTCCTTAGGCATGTGTAGGTAACAGAACTCGGGCTGTGTGGGCAGAGAAGAGAGAAGAAGTATAAATGCTGGAAAGGAAACTGTGACTTTAGGCCAGAGTGGGAACTTGAAAAGGACTGGGGAAGGGGGAGCGGAAATGTTTACCCAGTAGTTTTCAGTGCATATTTGGTTAATCAGAGTCTATTCTGCTATGGTGATTTCCATAAAGAGCCCCTCTGTTGAATATTTATACTCCATAATTTACAGTTTGGCTGTTAAGGAGACAAAGGCAAACACAAATTTGGTCCAGAAGTTCAAAGTTTGCCATCTGTTTTCCTATTGTATTTAGATACCAGTATGGATGGCTCCAAACAAAATAAACAAATAAACCAAATGATACAGGCTTAGTGTCTTTTATATCACTAAGGAAAAAAAAAAATAGGCCAAACCAGCCTTCAGCGTCTCCCCATAAGAAAAAAGGAAAAACATTTTTCTGACATCTCCTTAGAGAAGCACTGCTCTGGCTTCTCGTCAACAGACAGAAAGAGCAGACAGCACAGTATGCTAAGTCCACCCAAGCCATTCAGATTCACATGAAGAAACAGGTACCTGCCTCGGACATCTGACAGCACGCAGCACCGGCCCGAACGCTGTGCACCTTGGCAAACAAAGCCCGTCGTCGGCTCAGTCCTTGAACCAAATAAATACTCGATGCTGGGAAACAGGTAGCACAGCAAATGGCACCAAAACATGCCAAGACAGCCGATTCCAGGGACAAAGAGGAGCCAATGGTAGATATTGTGAATCCCTATCTAGCGAGTATTTCATCAACTTTGCCCATTGAAAAGAAAAATAATTGGTCTGAAAGCTGTAATTGTATTATGTTTAATATTCATGGTTGGGCTTGGAGGATGGTTCCAACACTCCCTCTCTCTAGCCCCTCTCTAATGAAAATCACACCATAGGAGTCGGCTGTAGCCCACCAATTAAAACAAAAGACACCAGAACCTTCCAAAGACTCCAACAGAGGAGCATCCATCTGATGGGCAGGAAAACGTGCTGGAAGCGAGAGGGAGGCACGCTCTGGTTGGTCCTGTGTTAAGGGCTTTGAATAACTTATTATAACACTTGCAGATGGAGCAAATGCAACATTTACGCCACAATCACTCTCTCTCTAACAGCAGGCAGCAGTGGCACGAGCACAGCACACAACTTTATACTTGTCAGGGCAAGAAGCAAGCACTGAGATTCTGTAATTGGGGGGGTCACAACTCAGGGCGCGCTTCCTATTGGCTTGGATTAAATACTCCTATATGATAATGAGGCACACTGTATCTGACAGCAAGCTGAAGCCTATTCAGTGTCTGGCTCGGCAGTTTCATTAAGGGGGACTTGACCTTCAGCTATATTTCTATCCAGAAAATAAAGGGAACAAGCAATAAGGTGTTACAATGGAGGCTTTTTTTAAATGACCGAATTAATTTTTAAAATAGTATGTTTTTAAAAAAGAAATCAATACATGATTCTGTTTGGTCTCACTGAACCTTGGGCTATTAAAGAGGATTTTAAATACAACCGTATATGCGAAAATCAATAGCTTTATCTACAAAGCACTGACGATGGCCTTTGGTGAAAGATTCATTTTAAACAGCAACTAGAAAAACATGTATTTTCAGGTAGAAGTGGAAATACATGTTTCTCTAGTTGCTGTTCAATCTAACTAGCCTAAGCTTAGTGCTCTCTGTATTTTAAGTCTGTACCTCTG